ACGAGTTTGAGTTCCGAATCGAATTTTGTGTGGGAAAACACCCGCCAATGAGGTAGGTCTACCAAATAGGGTGAGTATCGGGTGCCAAAATGGCATCTCGCACGCGAGATATTTTGTCCGCCTGGGACCTTGAAAGAAATCGGCAAATCCCGGAGGGCGCTCGACGTTGATTCTGTTCAACATCCTCACCATAACAATTTGTGAACGGCACAACATATCCAAGCATGTCCTCATTGCTCAAACACTCTATGATAGAATCGACGTTGTGCGCCTTCTGGCGCACACGCCACAACGAATCATGAAAGGAGGCTTGTGAGGCTGTGATTCGAAGCGAGAGCTGCTGCCTGAGTGCTCTCCACTGCCTCATGTTAGCACGTTTCCGAAGACGACCACCACATATTGCAATTACTCGGTGAGTGTAATCGCTGCTCAGTGTTTGGTATTGTCTCCTTTAACAACTATACTCATGGTCACCAATGGCATTTTGACCTCAAGTAGCCAACAGAACGTCGAAATGGAGAGCATCCCAGTTGAGCTAGGCTTTGAAGTAGCCAAACACTTGCCATGCCGCGATCTAAAGTCCCTCGCGCTTGCCTCCCGTTACAACCTCAGGATTGTCCAGTCCGTCCTCTTCGCCGACGTCACGCTCCCGACTCTCGCCTACCCTCCTTTCATGCAAGTGTCCTCTCACGTCCGACATATTTAGGACCTATAGTTCGACGTCTACGATTCGACCACGATTCCGATGAAGTGGGATTAGCATTCCATGACCTCACCGAACTACTTCGTGCCCTTCCAAACCTGCGCTGCCTACACATAAATGTGCGCTATTACTTCCCCAGACACTACGATCGTTTATCAGATGCGATATTGGCCGCCCCACAACTCACGCATCTTGAGACTGGTTCCTCTATGGACCCTATGTGGATCACCAGTGCTCTCCGTCGAATGGTCAATATCACCGAGCTCTCCCTCGATCTCAGTCTCTGCCGCATGGGTGCAGATGACCCAGCAGGAAGACTGCAGATCTTCTTCGATGCTGTGGATGCGATGAGTGCTCATCTAATCCGCCTCTCCATCCGCGGTCCACTGAACTTTCGATTACCCATACTTCTCCTGAAATTCACACTCTGCGACATACTTCCCCACACTCCCAATGTCCAAGAGCTCCTGGTACACGAAACGTTGGAAGGAGCCAAGCGTCAGCGGTCCATCGGCTTTGACTATCTCTCTGATGTGTCCCTTCCTACCAATCTCAAGGAGATCAAGTGGATCGATAGAGATGCGTTGATATACCACATCAGCCCGCTTATTCCGGACAGCACCGATCCTGTGCGGATACTCTTCGCATTCATCCCCTCCTTGATGAAAGTCGATCACTACGGACAAGGCTATCGCTATGTGTATCGCCGTCTAGAGAACAACACTATCGATACTATCGAGCGCTGTTCGAAGAGAATCAATAGTAGATCCTTGGCAAAGGCGCTCGAGGAGTTTAAATGCTTCCACGGAGTGGATTGTTTCTGACACCATATTGTCTCCCATCGAGGCCTCTCCGTTCTCATCCGCCTCTATGATCGTTGTCCCGTAGTTATTTGAAGGTTGACTTACTTTGCATCGCGTTTGGTCTACATCGCGGTTATACTCTTGATCCATTGTCCTTGTCAGCGTTCGTTCTCGATCTTGTTACTGTTGCATAGTATACTAAATCACCCGCAGGTTGAATCTTCAGCGTTTCAAGCAGACTTGGTTATATGCTCCGCAAGGCAAAGATGTTGCTAGGGCATGGTATGCGTTTGGGCGAGGGTATGAAGATGTAGAAATATTTACTATACTGGTTCAATACGAGCACATCCCCAACCCTGCCATCGAAGCAAAGCCAGACTCAAATATCATGGACACTGATAACACCACCCTCCGGTGCGTCCTCCGCTTTCTCGACATCAGAAAATCCTGCACCGTGGTCGCAATTGAACACTGGAACGGCGCAGTTTTCAGTCTCTCGTTGGCAACAAATGTGATTGTCACATCCCTCATCGCTTGCAGAGTCTGGTATGATGCGTACTGCGTTAGCCTCTCACCCACAAACTACGGAAAATTTGATATTGCTCGGGCTTATTGCATAGGTATCTCAACAGAGAATTCGCCTCTCGCTTCAAAGGCGCATCGTTCAAGTACAAGAGAGTGCTGGCGCTTGTAATAGAATCGGGCATGATCTATTCTTCGACTCTGGTCATCGAGATTACCCTCTACTTCCTCAACAACGACGCATATTACATCATTTATGATCCTATTGCCCAATTGACGGTGCGTATCCTCAGTCTTCCTCACTGCTGTGAGCAGCTCGTGGTCTAATCCCTACTGCTTCGTAGGGAATTGTTTCTACTATGATCATAGTCATGGTCGGCCTTGGACTCACATCTCACGATCTAACCACCCGAGTCGAAAGCGTGCAACAGGCAGCTACTGGCACGTGTTCACACAACGTCCCCGCTCGTCACCACCATGAACGCAAAGCACGCCCGGAACTGTCGGCCATCGAGTTTGCTACTATGTCGCTACAGCCATCGACAGCCACATCCGACGAAGGTGAGCCTGAGTCGAGAGAACGTGCCGTCACCGGTCTTGTCCTGAGCGAAGATTATACCTTGCCCAAGCCCCGAAACTAAGGTGATCCAAAAATCATCAGCGAGCTATAGAGAATAGCGGGGCCGTGGTGACGCACCTGCGGATGCTGCGATCAGAAGGATGGGCAAGATGCATATGTAGATGTTCGCGGCCCAAACATGATAGCAGCGCCAAACCTAAAGAGAGCTTAATTAATAACAGAAACAATGAAGTACAACCTTACCCAAGAACTCACCACGATACTATCCCCAATGATCGAATTAATCGTGTGGATGATGATCTTTGCCACATTCACAGGCGCAGAGGTGTCCGCCACGAACGCCGCCGGACCACCTGGCGCATCACGGAACTCGATGAATCCCTGGATCAAGCGCACAAGTCCGAGAGAAACATGTATGGTCGAGAAGAGAAACATGGTGATAGCGGAGACCATGATGACTCGCTTGATTTTCCGTGCTCGATGCTTGTAGCGTGAGATGTAGAGATAGGAACCGAAGAGGACGATGTTCACACCTGTGGCACCGTGGAGTTCGAGTAAGCAGACAGGATTCAAGAGTGTGAGGGAGAAAGAATTGTGGACATACCGTAGAACAGAGTCTCCAGCCATATCGCTACGAGGTACGCTTTATCCAATGAAATGGTGGTCGTTCGGGCCATCGTTGGGATTCTACGAGGCGTTGTGTAGAGCTGTCGTCGGTCAAGCGCTATTTGAAGAAGATCACCATTCTATCTTTATCCCCGTGACAAACTGGAGAAGCACGATATGCATACTGTGATCATCAAACATCGCGATACCACAAAGTGTTGGAGCTGTCTATGTGTAGGGCCGTGGAAGCAAGCATTCGGCGGCCGAATATCTTCTCTCGCGCTCGGAGGGCAACACATTCTCAGCGAGAGCTTTGTAAGTGGGGCGTCCCCATCCCGGAGAAATTTAAACCTAGTACTCTATAGGATCATGCAAATGCATATTGCTGGTCCACGTCTCAGAAGTGCCTGTTATACAAATTGTGGTCTGCAAGGCAGGCAGCATAGACACTGTCTTTGAAACAAGACGACATCTACGGAGACGAAGCCACTTATCCCAAAGCATGATTTGCCTACCTATGGCCAGATCTTCTCGCAGTCATGTTGGCGGTACGAGATCATATCTGTTTCTCTCCATCAGGTGGAAGCTACATTTCCTCCGCTAGTTTGTCTGCGTGATGGAGTATCAAAGTAGAAGCCAATCTCCAGTATGCAGTCCCACGATCTATCGCAGGAGGAAGAGGGCGAGGGTAGTGAATACTTCCAAAGTATTCTCTGGACACCCAAGCGTGCGTGCATTCATTGCGTTCTCGCCGAGCCACAACGGGGTAGATTATCCAGCCTCACAAGACCGACCAAAACCAGCGGATATAACACAGATTCTCGTGCTAGTAGTTTGCCGCTTCCGGAGTAAACAGACTATCCACGACCTGAACCCCTAGAAAAGGCCTGGGACCGTCTATCGGTGTCGAGAAGAGGATGCAGGTCATCCGCAGGACATCACATTCGAGAAGCAACCCAGTGGAGTGTCCTCTCCATTTCGCATCCATAATCGCCCTCCATTTTCAACCCTCTATCACTGCTATCTGAGAAGAATGTGTTTATTCATAGGAATCCGAGCACCCGAACCTAAGCTATACGCATAGAAAGAGGTTTTCGGTGGAACACCGATAAGTATGAATGGACGTACTGGATTGGAAAGCAGACAAGTCCTTGTCCTCTAGACGGGCTGGAAGGATAGGAGCACGGTATATAATCGAGCATTCTGTAATTGCGAAAACCGTCGGAGTGGGATGGTCGCAAGATGGTCGTCCACCTGAGATTAGCTGATCAAGAATGCGGCAATTTCCGTGGCGATTGGATCGGAGCTAATCGCGTTTGTTCAACCTCCGCGCATCTTGGAAACGAGCATTATGAGTTTTATACTTCTGAAAGCGTACGATCCCTACATTCACTTACCGATATCAAGTTGAACGTGTATTCATTTTCTTTTAGCAGGCCCGATAATTCTTTCTTCGCCTGAGGAGCATAGTTCCAAAATACGGTGAAGTGGGTCGCTGGAGATGCAGTCTTCCCTTCCCGTACTATCGGCCTCTACGCTGTCGGCACGACAAATGCCAACGCCTTATTCTAGCTCATCCTTCACTGGAGATAGTGGAGTATAACAAGAGGAGTTATGTGTTTGTCTACAAGAGCTCGATTTTATCCGGTAAGATAGAGCGGCGGACTGACCGAACGAAGGAGGTAGTGATGTATGGCCTTGATTTTGAACAATGGTCTCTACGAGCTTGGGGAGCACCGACATCCAGATCATCACTCTCTGACCCTTGTATAGTAATCGTGGTTCAAAGCCCATATATTTTCATTAGAGGCGGCTCACTCACGTGCTTCTTTCAAGCTCTACCCAGTCTTCGATGCCTATCCGTCCCACAGAGGGGATTCAGATTCCTTCTGTCTCTTGTGCCATTCGAGTGCCTTGGTGTGATACCGCGCTAGTCGACTCCTTACAGATCAGGTATCAATGTTTCAACAGAAGCCAGATCTGATCTGGTTTCGTTTGAGCGTTGCTTTGTTACTGATATGTCCATAGACAGTTTTGGCGATTGGGGCATTGCGAGTAGTTGAGATGAAAGATATTCTCAGGGGTCTCTACTTTTTCGTCGTCTGACAGACTGACCTATTGGCAGTAACGGGGGTGGGACTGTGACCCATGGCGAGTAAGTAAGGTCAGTAGTTTTTTCATGTTCAGGGATAAATATAGAGGGCGCCCTTGGGCTTCTCTCGATAAATTATGATTACCCCGGCCACGAGAACGTCGCTTGCTGACTTTATCCTGCGCTCGACTAGGATAAGACACATAACCTCATGCAGACCGCTGGCCTGCGATCGCCCGAGCACAAGTGATCCTATTCCTGTCCGATGAAAGCTTTATAGCTCGCTACCTGACCAGCCTGAGCGGCTTCTGCTTCCCCCCGGCGACCCTTCTGTGTTCAGCGTATCCTGTCTTTCCTTCCTCTTCAGCCCTGCTCTTTCTTTGCTTCCTTCCCTGCTTTCGTGAACCATTCCAGTCCCCTGGCGGGTAATCATGTCATCTACTGACCAAGAAGCCATTCTCTTCCTCTTCACCGAGCTTCTGTGTCAGACCATCGGTTATGGTACACACTCCTCCATTGCACGTTGACAGAGGCTGACGGTCATGCTAATATCTCAGGAGTCTTCATCGTTATCATCCCGATGTCGACTCATGTACTTGTGTGAGCTGTATCTACAAATTGTTTATCCGTGAATGCTGATGAAGATCTGTCAAATCTTCAGTAAACAAGGCATGAGCATTCGTGCAAACGTCGTTATGCTCACTATCACGCTAGGAATATTCGTCCTGTCGACCACATATTGGGCAGTCTCCGTCGCTTCCCTCGTGTCTGACATAACACAGGATCATCGACAGAGAAACAACGCCATCCGACAGGTGTTCAATGCTGTTGTTCTCGTCAACTGTGAGTTCAGCCCTATGCTAAAGCTGATGACGGTTGACAGAAGAGGACCTGGCTGATGACTCTGGTGGATGCTGAAACAGATGTGTTCGCGGACGGAGTTGTGGTGTGGCGTATGCGGGTGTTGTGCGCTGCGAGGTTCTCTAAGAAGGTAGTGATAATTCCATCCATCATGCTCGGTCTCACCGCTGGTACGTCTCGACCAATACCTTGTTCTTCACATCTTCACCTTCATACTCTTAACACTGGTGAACATACACTCGTGGAATGACAGTGTCAGTCTTCACGACCATCGCACTCCGTAGTGCAATCGCCGCAGACCCAGACAAGAGAACTCCCCATCGCGGACCCGTCCCCACCGCGCTCTCGGTCAGTCAGGTCGTCAACTTGGCATTCTCGTTCATCACGAACGTTACCGCCACTTTTATGATCGGGATGTGGGCATGGTATGTTCTGTCTGCACATCCTCCCCATCTCCATGAGCGAACTGAATCAAGAGTCTAACCTGTTTATTATACGCCTAATCGGCATGTAGGCAATACCGACGGTCCATCCGCGCCAATATGCAGTCCTCCAGAAGCACGCAGGTAGAGCGTATCTTGGTCTTACTTGCAGAATCAGGCCTCGTGTATTGCGTCTCCTCCGTACGTTAGCGTCTAATTCTCAGCAGAACCGCTCGTCGGCTCATCATTCATGGCATTGACAACAATCTCGAATCGTCTTTCTGCTAGGCAATCGTTCTCTTCGGTTCTTTCGTCCACGTATCGGGAGGTACCCTGACTGATGTCTACACAGGCGTACATGTCCAAATTGCGGTCCGTAACTTACCTATCGCTTCCTCACATTCTTCATTATCACTGCTCAGTCTGTCTCATGCTTCGATGCAAAAGGGAATGTATCCAGCGCTCGTCATAATCCTCGTAAACACCCAACGCACCTCAAAATCCCTGATGTCCGTAGTCCACTTCGACCCGGCCCCGAACCAAAGCATCAACGTGAACAAAACGGAGATTATGGAGAGCATGCACTTTAACGATAACCCTGCTCTTGGGAACCAACGTGGGACAGTGAGCATGGTATCGCTGTCGCGACAGCGACAAACAAGAGATAACGCGGTGACCGTCGACACGCATGGGCCAGAGGAAAGATCTATCATGGTGCAGGAGGAAGGGGATACAAGCAGACCAACATTGCCCGATTGTTATGATTCCTAGATACCGGGATCAGTCGTGCTGGAATGACCGCGTGATATGCAAGGAGATGTATATGTCAGAACGAGACTCACCACCACCACTCAGATCCAGCTTCATGGAAAGTGATCCTGGCCAAGGCAAACAGTGCTCCTCATAATCTGACGGTTGACCATACCACCCTCCCGCCTGCTAAAAATGAGCATATGCTGCCTCTCGTGGTATTCCACCACCTTCAACGATGGAAAGAGCCTGAGGAGCGTACAGGCATTCCAGGTTCCGTGTGGCGAAAGATTGCTTGCCACTGGAGGAAAGGATGCGTCTACACCGACCCACCTCAATGTCTCCAATTTCGTCGGGAACGCCGGGATAACGTTTGAATCGCCGGGCACCAGAGGGTCAATGCGGACGATTTGTTGGCTATAACCGGAACTACTCGTATGGTTTTTGTATCGAGCTTGGCGGAGCTCAAGAATACGAAGGTTCGGGATTCGAGGCAGGATGCTGGAAATGATCCAGGAGAAGGCATGGGAGCATGGAAGCGGCGTGTCTGATTCTATGATGAGGTGGTTGAGTCTGGTACAGACGTCGAATGCTTTGAGATGCATCAGGACTAGATTGGCCTGTAGCGTCGGCAAAAAACTAGAGTAGGTGATCGATAGCCGTTCAATAAGGGAGAACTCTCTAAGCAGCTCGGTGGTAAAGGCGAGCCCACCAGAACCGACTTTCAGCTCGAGGGTGGTGAGCTGTGGCAGCTGAGCTCGCGGAGAAATAGACTCGAATCGGTGTTGAGATCCATCCTGGCCATTTCGATCGTCAACGCTGAGGTGCAACACGGAAAGATTCGGATGAGAACGCATGAACTCGAAGAGGAAGGGGACAGTTGGTGTGGGACTACATTGGAGTTCCACCAACGAAGGTGAGATCGCACTGGAGCAGATATGCGATATGAACGACGTGAACCCCGGGCTCGGTGAACGACAGGAAACAACCTGCAGAGAGCGGAGGTTGGTCATGGCTTGCAAGCAGAGAGCGATTTCCGCAAGTTCAGACTCAGACAAGTATTCGGTGTGGAAAATCTTGATGGACTTTACGAAGGGGCCGAAGAACGACGGCCTTGACACGATCGTAGTCACTAAAGCGAAGAGATGGCCCTGCTCGTATTTCCGCTGTGACCGAGGTATATTCCTGTATCGTTGTATTACTCCATCACGCACCGTGATGTGCTCGTAAAGAAGGGGTCGAACGAGTGTGGCATGGCTGTGGGAGCATAGCGCCAAAGACGCCATGTCAGTCGAAGATAACTCTCGATATATCGCGATATGAAGCTCGGCGGGTAGTTTATCCATTTCGGTAGTGGCACGAGCTGGTCGAACAAAGGGCAATGATAAGTGCAAATTCGAATGCAGAGCGAGTGAGACTCATACCTATCGGAAAGGAAAGATCACGAACGCGACGATGCGACGGTGGACGACGACGACGACGATGAGTGTTCGAGTCAAGGTTCGAGTCCGAACGCGACCAGAAACGCGACGCGTACCGTAGGGCGTGTCAAACACGTGATTTAAGCAAATGACTAAGCAAATCTTGACACCCCTCGCGTGGCTGTTCTCACACGCTTGCGTTCTACTTTGTGCGTGGAGACGAAGATGTACAACATTCTTTTGTACACACAAGTCACCTGTGTCGTGTTCTGGTTCGTCCGTTGATGGTGACAGACTGCGAAGAGTAGTCGCAAAGTCTCATATATCGTGCATTTGCGGCAGCTTTGATAAACCAATGTCGCCCCATATTGGCTTTCTTCACAGGACCTGGACGACCACGACAGCGACGGGGAGCTTTCAACGTCGACACCATCCATCCCCACTAGTCCTTTCACTGGGAAGTACGACCTTTCAGTGCAATCAGGATATAGCATTAGGTGAGTGTTATGGCTGCTACCCTTTTTGGCTACGCTATTGAGCCTCCGAGTCAGATCATGATCGCGCATGTACTAATGTTGGCTGACTTGTCATCGACCGACGTCGAAATGGAGAGTCTCCCCACCGAGCTGAGCCTCCAGATAGCCAAACATCTGTCTCACTGCGATCTTAAGGCCCTCGCACTCACGTCCCGCCACATCGTCGGCGTCGCACAGACTATCCTCTTATCCAACGTCGACGTATCCGGTTCTCACCAGGATGTTTGCTCCTTTCAAGCGAGCGTCGCCTCCCGTCCGGCATACTTTGGGCCTATGGTTCGACGTCTTCGGTTCTATTACAACATCGATCAAGGACGGCTAGACTTCCACGAGCTCAGGCGATTATTGCGTAGCCTGCCGAACTTGCGCTGCCTACACATAGACGTAGAACATTATCTTCTCTTCTCCGGAAACTACGATCGCTTGTCAGACGCGATATCGAATATCGCCGGACAGCTTACGCACCTTCAGATTGGTCGCTCTACGAACCCTTTGAAGCTCGCAAGCACCCTTCGTCGACTAAACAGTATCACCGACTTGTCCCTTGATGTTCGTTCCTGTAAAACGGACCCCGCGGCAGGGGATTACAATCAAGTTAACAGCCTACCAATATTCCTAAATACTCTGAGCGCGATGAGTGCTCTCGTCCGACTTTATATTCGCGGTCCACCCCAATTTGGAGCCACATTTCCCTTGAAAAATCTCCTCCCATTCGCGATATGCGATATCCTTCCACACACACCTCATCTCCGACAGCTGGTCTTGCACGAGCTCTCTCGAGACCGAGGCCCTCCACCAACCATTCTCCTCGAATCTTCGTCTCTCGCTCAGCACGTCTCTCTGCCGACCACTCTTAATTCGATCACCTGGGTCGGTCACGACGCGCAACATCAGAGCAACTCACAGCACAGCGCTAACACCGTGCGGACGCTGTTCGTGCGCATCCCTTCCTTGACGAGAGTCAACCACCACGAACGGAGCTACCGCTATGTGTTTCGTCGCATAGAAAATGGTGATAATCAAAAACCTATACAGCGCCGTTCTGAGAGACTCGATGGGATTTCGTTGGACAGGAAACTCGAAGCGTATGAATTGCGTATGAACTATTGGAATCGGCGGGGTGGGACCTCTGAATGACCGTATCTTCCCCTTTTCCCTTGCCCATCCCATCATTTATCCGCTTGCAAGCCCTTCTGTAACTTAGTGTGACGATGCCTAGAGGATATCCCAACATCGGCCGGTTGTTACGATTCCTAAACACCTCGATCACTTTTCTCAGAATGATTGTGTGGTATGCAAGGGGAGGTATACGTGAACACGAGACTCACCACCACCACTCAGGTCTAGCTCCATGGGAAGTGATCCGCGTCAAGGGGAACGGTGCTCCTCACGCTCTGACGCACGACCACACCACCGTCCAACCTCCTGAAAATGAACATATACCCCCTCTCGTGATATTCCACCACCTTCAACGACGGAAAGAGCTCGAGGAGCACATTTGCGTTCGATGCTCCAAGTGGCGAAAGATCGCTTCGCACCGTAGGAAAGAATGCGTCTGCACCGACCCATCTCAACTTCTCCAATTTCGTCGGAAACACCGATATGACGTCTGGATCTTCCGACGCGAGAGAGTCAGTTCGGATGGCTTGTTGTATGTAGCTGCTAAAATGTGTACGGTCTCTGCGTTGACCTTGGCGGAGCTCGAGAATACGAAGGTGTGGTAGCTTAGGCAGAACGTTAGAGATGATCCAGGAAAAGGACTGGGGACATCGGTGTGGCGTGTCTTCGATGATGAGGTGGGTGAGTCTGGCGCTGCAGACGTGGTAGAGGGCGTTGAGATGATTCAGTACCGAATCGTTCAGTTGCCTCGACGAAACATCGGAGTGGGCGATTGATAGCCGCTCGAGATGGGTAGACACTCGAAGCAGCAACTCGGTGCTGAAAGTGAGCACTTCAGAATCGACGTTCAACTCGAGGAACGTGAGATTGGGGAGTAGAATTTGTGGGGAGATAGACTCGAATCGGTATTGAGTTTCATTTTGGCCGTTTTGTAACTGTCTCCTGGCATATACGCTCCCTAGGTGCAATACCGAAAGATTCGAATGGGAGCGCAGAAACTCGAAGATGGAGGGGACAGCCGGTGTGTCATTGCATTGAAAGTGCACCAACGATGGTGAGATCGCGCCGATATAGACTTGGGATATGAACTCGGGGCTGGGTGTGTAAACGTAGAAGTCAAGCCGCAGAGAGAGGAGGTTGGTCATGGCTTGAAAGAAGATAGCGATTTTTTTCAATGTCAGACTCGGACGACCATCTGGGCTGAGTAATGTTGATGGACTTGACGAAGGGGCCGAAGAATGACGGCCTTGACACGACCGTGGTCACTAAAGCGAAGATATGACCATGCTCGTATCTCAGCTGTCTCTAGGGTGTGATGTGCTCGTAAAGAAGGGGTCGAACGAGTGCGGGCGTGGCTGTGGGAGCATAGCGCCAAAGAGGCCATGTCACCCGAAGATAGCTCTCGACAGATCGCTATATGAAGCTCCGCAGGAAGTCTGTCCATTTAGCTCGGTTGTGTTTGGTGGGCCGACTATAGGGCAGACGGTGTTTAGCTCAAGTTCGAATCCAAAGTCAAGACAGGTAAGTACACTAGTAACGTACTAGCTTGTGAACTTAACAGGGTTGTCCTCTGTAATCTCACGTTCGTAAATGATCCTGAACCGAAGCAAGCAGTAATCGGGATCCTTGAGATTCGAGAACAAGGTATGATAGATGGGACAGTACATACGTTGGCAGGGGGTGATGACGGCGACGAAGATGAGCGTTCGTAGTCAGGGAGCAGTTGAACGTGTCATCATCGTGTTGACTCCTTACGGGCGCCTCTAGAGCAGCTGACTACAGTCACGGTAATGCAGTGGTCCTTTGAACATAGAAAAATTGCAGCGACCTTCCTCTATCGCACAGCGATATTCTTGCGTCTTTTTTTCTCATTCAGATCGTTTCAAATGTTTATTTGAAGACTGTTACCGAAAACAACCCCTTCGTCGGACTTGGAGAGGGTTCGTTCTCGTGCGCCGTGAGCCTTCTATCCTAAAAATATAACGTGTGCCCAGCAAGTACTTTCGATATCAACGTATTTCAGGCTGACTTTCACTTTATTTTATCGCCTCGATGAAGCGGCAGTACCCAACGCCGCGGAATCGTCAGGGTCCACTTTGTGTGGCGCCCATACAGCGAACCTCACACCAGCGTTGAACGTTGAATATTGAAGGCTGGTTACTGCTTACAAGAGACCAGCCCGTAGTTAATACTGGAACAGTCTAGCAGTCATGACCACCCATCTTACTTGAACATATCGACAAGTTTGCTTGCACTACATGCCCAATTCTCCTAAGAAAGAGCAGTAATATATACTCCGTCGTGACACAGACAAACGAGATCCCAACATTAGCCTAAACAGCTCGATGAGGAACATACCCTGCTATGTATATTCAAAAACATGCATGTGTCACAATAGCGCATCAAGGTTCGACGCTCCGAGCACAGAAAGACCGCTTCCTGCCGCGGCGGAAGGAGAACATGCGTCTCCACCGATCCACTTCAGCGTCCCCAATAATGTCTTCGGGAAGGTCGAGATGATGGCCCCACCGCACCGCACCTCAGCACACAGAACGACGTCAACAGCGATCTCGCAGATCAAAGTTTTGGGTGGTCATGGCTCGAAGAAACGAAGTGTTTGGCAAACGTCTCTGATCTAAACATAGATGCGACCACAACGTGGCACGAAACATTCCACAAAAGGAACAACTTACTATATACTTAAGTCAAAGTTCAACCGTCAACATGAGCCGTAGGGCGAACCCGGAAAGTACGCACAGCTGTCTATGTCCCGAGAAATGGAGAACTTATCCCAATTCTGAGCTCACCCGAGCCGAAGGGATTTTGTCACTGTGTTCCGGCTGATCATTCCATGTTCCATATTCCGTCCCGAACAAAGAAAATTCATGGACATACAGTATCACAGAGAGGAGAGTAATCGCAAATAATCAATCCTTGAGTCAGCGACCAGAAGGATGAGGGTGCTATAGATTAGTATAGCACCGATGCCACACCGAGAGCGCGCGCCGACCTCAAAACGAGTCGGGGTACTTACAGTACTCCTTTTACGCGGGGCTCGTTTCGTGAGAAATGCGCCAGCAGACAGGAGGAATCATCGCAGCTACGGAACACAGCTCGTTCTGCTATACACGACGAAAAGGGTCGATTAAAGGCAGGCAGGCAGGATGTCACCTAGACTGGCTCCTCGTTAGCGTTAGCTGGGCAAGCATGGCGAGAAATGCGACAGGAGGAGTCGTAGCTACGGGACACAGCTCGGTCTGCGTATACATGACTAAAGGGCTGATTGAAGGCATGCGATGCCACTGTGGCACCGCAAAGCGAAGCAACGTTTAAGGAGGTGCATATTGCGCCCTGGCACGCGACTCGTCGACGAAAACGGCCGATCGCACGATGCAAAGCATAAACTTCGGGACGTAACTTCCCCATTCCCAAGGAGCATCGAGAGCATCGTCATCGGTAACGGCATAGAAGAGGTTCAAGAGAAGACAGGACGAATGGACGAAGTCTGTGTGTGGGATGACGCTGGCATGTTGCAAGATATGATAGAAGCTGATATGTACATGATGAATGGGTATAAGGAGATTATGTCCGCCTTGGTGTCTAGAGGGACCAGCAAAGACAAGCCATAAAGATGAAGCTGGATGGCCGAAACGTCGTTCGGAGAGACGGGTGAAGAGAGGACGAATGATAGACCGTCGGCAGATTCAGCGCACACGCAACGGGAAAAGACAGAGTTAGAGGCTCGTCCATCCGAGTGGGAGCAGCGGGCCAATACCGGCTAGGTGTGTTCATCGCGGTGCTTGAAGGAGCAGAGGAAGAAATGAACGAGGTGTTGGTGGGAGAGAGCAAAGGCAGGACCGGGACGCAAAGGAACCGAACGGGACGCTCGTCATTCGCTGCCCGCGCCACGCGCCGCCGGCTTACCTCATTCTCTCCCTTTTTATATTAAATCCCTCATCGCTCCCGCTCTGCCTCCCATCGCCCCTCGTCCTCGCCCACTTTTTTTGTCCTTCGTCCTTTGGCTCGCTGTCGCGCCCGTTGTCGCCAGTGTCGCCGCTGGCTATCGCGGTCATCGACGACACGATGCCGTCCCAGCCGCGTCCGATCCTGAAGCGGGCCTCGCACTCGTTCACGCCGTCGAGCCCGACCTCATCTTACTTCCCATCTACCGCCCACCCGCCAGAAAACAACCACACCACCAAACATTCACATTCCGTCCGCTTTCCTCCCTCGCCCACACTAACGCGCACGTTCTCGGCGTACTCGCCCTCGTCGTACGACCGTTCGCCGATCGTCGTCCTCCCCAACAGCTGTGCGCTCCCCGCCCGAGGATGTCCCGGGAGGACGTATATACCCGGCGATGTATCCCCTCCGCGTGCGGAAAGGGAGGACAGGAGGTCCAGTCCTAGTCCTAGTCTCGTTCCAAGTCCGGAAAAGAGGGGCAAAGCGATGAAGAGTAAATCGAAAACGATGCATCCCCGCGCTGGCGTCGTTTCGAGCCCCGGCCTTCGACCTATCGCTCTTCCGGTTCCATATTCTTCTTCGCCTCTCGCGTCCACTATCACCATCACCTCCTCTGATACTCTGTCACCGAATGCGACACCCATACCCAACTCCACTCCTCTCCACCAGCAACACCAATACCAACACCAACACCAACACGCCCACGCTCATACCCCCACCTCAGTCCCAACCCACCTCCCAGACCTCACACCCAGCTCCTCCGCCTCCGAATCAGACGAATCAGACGGCTTCGTCTCGCCTCCTCCCCCTCCCTCCTCTTCCTCCCTTAACGCCTCACTATCCTCGCTCACCCTTTCCGCTCCAATGCCGATCCCGATCATACCGGAACTAAGCGTCTTCAACGTCGAAGACGAACTCATAACCACCGCCGCCGACGAGGACGAAGACTTGACGCCGCCCGCGAACATGTTCACCTCGTTATCTTTGTCGCCTTCCGCGTATTCGAACTCGAACTCGAAACCGAAAGACGCAACCGCAACCGTAGATGAAGTCCCACCGTTCGATGACGTGGAAGAAGACGAGGCGTATGAAGAATATTATACCTACGAGGAAGAAACGCGTCGGCGGCGTCGGGATCGGGATCGGGATCGGGACCGCGATCGCGATAGGCGGAGACGCAAGAATGAGCGTAACGGCGGACATGATTCGCGGTCTTTAGGTCTGAATGGGGGTGCGGGGAAGACGGAAGCAGGGGGACAGGGCGGGGAGGACGGCGAGGAGGAGGAGGAAGGGGAGGGGGGCGACGCGGATGATGATATAGGTGGTAATGGTAGAAGTCACAATTCGAATGTGAGTGTGAAGAAGGGATCGGGGTCGGGAAGGAGGGTGAGGAGGGGATCGAAGGGTGGGAGGGGGGAGCATCAGGGAGAGGGAGAGGAGGAGGGACATGAGAGGGGGAGGTATAAGAGTTTTGTGGGGGGTGGGTTGAGGTTTGGAGGGTTTGGAGCGGAGGAGGGGGAGGATGATGGGTGTTTGGGAGGGTTTTGAGGCGATGGTTTTCTTGTCAGGGGTCGCCGAGACGATGTCGTCTTGATGTTGTCTTGGTCCCTTCGATGGCATCCTCTTGGTCCCTTCGATGGCATCCTCTTGGTCCCTTCGATAGCGTCCTCTTAGTCCGAACTTAACTACCTGCCATATCCGTCACATCTCGTTCCTCTCTCCTCTCCTCTCCTCTCCTCTATGTTCCTAGGTCGTGCGAATATGTTCAATAGGCTTTCGCCGGACTGGTATAGACATACATAGACTATGCATGTTTATTTGGGTCTTGGCCTGTCGGTAGGTGTGTAGGTGTAAAGCAGGGGTTTGAAGTAACGAAAATATCCACGGGTCTAGCAGTATTTATGACTTTCTCTTTCTCTTTCTGGCTCTGGCTCTGGCTCGAAACGCGAAACGGTTGCGGTGTTTGTTTGTTTGTTTGTTCGTCTCGCTATGCTATGGTACGATACACTAGCTATGGTACGAATATGGTACGAATACAATACAATACTAAGCCTTTTCGCTTTTCTTTTATTGTGTTCTGTCGGACCTATGACACCATCATAGGCAATGGAAGGCGGGACTGTGAGAACACGGAACACATGGGATGGGTGGATTCACGCGCACTTTGGGAGGTCGTTTGTCTGTGCTGTGTGAAGACCCGTGGGGGGCTTTTGGAATGTTTATCGATGGCTCGGACGGCGATAAATTTAATGTCGAGACGAGGATGCATGCGATGATGTCGAGATGAGGTCCAGAGTGACGAAGGAGGGCGAGGAGGAGTGGGTACGGTATTGAGGCGGTGGCGGTGGCGGCAACGGTTCAGAGCGCTTAAGTATTTATTTGGTTTGGACTCGGCTACGGAAGTAAGCGAGCGGAATTTGAAATAGCCCGCAATTGCCAATAGGTGAGTGGTAGAGGCATGTGTCGAACACGCCGCTGACACCGTCACATCTGAACTCGAACCTTGACTTGAGCACTCATCATCGCTCGTCGTCGTCGTCCAACGGTGTAGCGCCACATCCGTGATCTTTTACTCTCGATAGGTATGAGTACTTATCATGTCTTTTCGATTCGAAATTGAACTTACCATTGCCCTATGCTCGACCGGCTCGACCGGCTAATAAAATCGAATACATTTCATACGAACATTCACCTAGTCACCGTCGTCGTCGTCCCCCACCAGCGTAGCGTCGTGATATCATACATAGTTTCCATAGGTTTGATCGTTATCTGATCTAGATCACTTTTGAAGAGATCGCACTGGTGAACAACCTAGGTGGTTTCACAGGTTCGTCTCCTATACTTACCTGTGTTGACTTCAACTTTGAGCTCGAGCTGATCACCGTCTGCCTCTTGTTCGACCATCTGGTAGTATCACCAAACGCCGCCGAGCCACATGGACAGACTACCCGCGGAGCTTCATATAGCGATCTGTCGAGATTTATCGTCGGATGACATGGCGTCTTTGGCGCTATGCTCCCATAGCCATAACGCACTCGTTCGACCCCTTCTCTACGAGCACATTAGAGTGTGGGATCGAGGAACGATCCCACGATACAAGGACCGATGCCTAGGGTGGAAATACGAGCATAGTCGTCTCTTCGCTTTAGTGACTACGATCGTGTCAAGGCCGTCATTCTTCGGCCCCTTCGTAAAGTCCATCAAGGTTGTCCACACCGAATTCTTGTCTGAGTCTGACCTTGGACAAATCGCTCTCTGCTTCCAAGCCATGACCAACCTCCGCTCCCTGTGGGTTATCTCCTATATTTCGGGCCCCGCGTTCACGTCGTTCATATCGCATGTCTGCTCCGGTGCGGTCTCACCTTCATTGGTGGAATTCCAATGTAGTCCCACGCCAACTGCTCCCTTCCTCTTCGAGTTCGTGCGCTCTCATCCGAATCTTTCCGTGTTGCGCCTCAGCGTTGACGATCAAAATGGCCAAAATAAATCTCAACCCCGATTCGAGTCTATTTCTCCGCAAGCTCGGCTGCCACATCTCACGACCCTCGAGTTGACAGTCGGTTCTGGTGGGCTCGCCTTTGCCACCGAGCTGCTCAGAGTGTCTGCCCTTGTCGAGCGGCTTTCGATTACCTACTCTCGTTCTTTGCCGAAGCTACTGACCGATCTGGTCCTGATCCATCTCGAATCCTTCGACGGCTGCAGCAGACTCAACCACCTCATCATCGAAGGCACGCCGCATCATTGCTCTCAGTCCTTCTCCTGGATCATTTCCAGCATCCTGCCTAAAATCCCGAACCTTCGTATTCTCGAGCTCCGCCAAGCTCGATACAAAAACCATACGACTAGTTCCGGGAACCCACAACAAGTCATCCGCATTGACTCCTTGCTGCCCGGGCAGTCAGACGTTATCTCGGCATTCCCGACGAAATTGGAGACGCTGAGGTGGCTCGGTGCAGACGCATTCTTTCCTACGGTCCGAAGCGATCTTTCGCCACACGGAACATCGAACGTCAATGCGCTCCTCGAGCTCTTTCCGTCGTTGAAGGTGGTGAAGTATCGCGAGAGGGGGTATATGTTCATTTTTAGGAGGTCAGAGGGCGGTGTGGTCGTGCGTCAGGCCGTGAGGAGCACCGTTCCCCTTGACATGGATCGCTTTCCATGGAGCTAGACCTCAGTGGCTGTGGTCAGTCTCGTCTTGACATATAAATCCCCTTGCATACTACACAATCATGGCGACTAAACTGATCGTGGTGTCTAGTAATCATAACAACCGGCCGATGTTGGGATCTCCTCTAGACATCGTCACACTAAGTCACAGAAGGGCTTGTACGCGAAGTCGATATAAGATTTTTGTGCAAGTGTTGAGGTTTGGAGGTTTTGGAGGGGGGAGGAGGAGGATATCGATGGGTGTTTGGGAGGGTTTTGAGACGGGGCTTTTTCTTGTCAAGGGTTTCCGAGAGGATGTCGTCTTGATTGCCTCTTGGTCGCTTCGATGGCGTCCTCTTGGTCGATGCGATCAGGTCGAAGCCGACCCCGACTTCGACCACCTACCATATCCGTCAAATCTCGTTCCTCTCTCCTCTCACCACTGCGGGGGGATCAGTATTTGGAGCACGCCAAAGCCGTTTGCATTGTGAGATCCATATCCAGGAAATAGATAACACAATGGGATCCCCCAAATTATGTATTTAGCGTAGTTTAGTGGAAAATCTATAGTTTTGCTATGGATTCTGCTTGAGACTTGGCCAAATGAGAAGCTGAAGGAACACAATGGTGCCCAGCGAATGATTATATTATTGCTGGACTTTAAGGTCCTCCAAATCAAGAGACAAAGGGTCACTTTGGACCCAAATATGGCATTAGCCAAAATCATTATTTGGACTGCTCGATTCGGTGAAGCAAAGGCGAACAATTGAGCCCGATATGGAGCTCTCTATAGTCTGGCTTTGGGCTCAATCCACCACGTGGTGCACGCTGATTGGCTCTCAGATCGCAAAGTTTCTAAAGTTGGACTATGGAGAGCTCCATACGGGGCCCGATTGCTCGCCTTTGGTTCACTGAATCGAGCAGTCCAAAGACTGGCTTTGGCTAACGTCATTTTGGGGTCTAAAGCGGGCCTTTGTCTCTTGATTCGGAGGACTCTGAAGTTCAGCAAAAATATAACCATTCTCAGGGCACCATTGTTTTTCTTCAGCTTCTCATCTGGGCGAGTCCAAAGTGGAATCCAGAGCAAAACTATGGATTTTACACCAAACTACACTAAATACATGATTTGGAGAGTCCCATTTTGGTATCTATTTCCTGGATATGGATCTCACAATGCAAATGGCTTTAGCGTGCGGCAAATACTGATCCCCACGCCGTGCACTGTGGAAGACGGATAGGGTGAAATTCAGCCAAATTTAAGGTGATTTTCATGTTTCACCCAATTTTCGGTGGCCGCCGCTAGGCCGGCAGACGGCTTCGTTGAAATTCACCCAAACTTTGCAGGGAGCAACGAGCCTCTTAAAAATCAAAATAAATTCGGATAGAATTACGGTAGAGTATGATCTGCTGTGTGGTTGACTCGGTCTACGTCAGAACCGTGCAATGTGCGGTGGATCGAGACGAAGTACTGCGAAGGACGGTGGCCACAAAGTAGAGTAGAGTGGCGTAGCCCGTGGGGCCGATGACATCATAGTCGTGTCTTGCTTCAACTCGACTCCTAGATCTCTTTGCTCTCTCTCTAGTACCACCACCACCACTCCCGGGTTTTCATCAACATTGGACGTGATCTACTCTGCTCTGTGCTGGAATCTAGCTAGATTTCTGGTTGCCGCTCACGCTTCATGAGTCTCTATAGCTTGCCGGCCTCTGTTTGATCTTGGCTCTCGAGACTTGACATTTGCATTCCCGCTGACAAGGAACACGATTTGGAGGTCGCTTCAGTAACGATTGGGAAAGGGTCTGTTGGAAATTGTCGGAGACGTGGATTTTACGGTTCCCCGAAAGGTGCAGTCGTACTCCATTCCATTCTTTCTTCGCTATCGGGACCACCATGTGCTTCATACTTTTATGTGAGTGGGTACGCACTCGTCACGCCCGCCCGCCTCCTTCGGTGAACGTGGTTCTTATGACCTCCCTGATGGTTGTATACTAATCTGGCTCGATGTACTCGCTGACCTTGACAACTCTCAACTTTCTTCCACCTCTCATATCTTTTTTGCCATTCTCTCTTTCCCTGCGGCCTCTCAATAGAGTTATGTCTTGCTGTTCAACTTTCATGGAGGGTGAAGCTACAGATAGGGCACAGGTAACACTTCTCAGTACTATATAGGAGTATGTTATCCCTCGTGTATCAGTGTATATACATAATTCATATTTAATCAAATTTCTCTCATGTTTCTCGCTCTCTCGGGTGCCAAAACAAACGGCCTGGCAGCCCTTCAGTAGGGTCTAAGCTGATCATGCATGAGAGCGTGAACCGGCTGCCACACCTCCTCGAGTCAGCCCAAGATACGTGGATTTTCACCCGAACTTTGAATGAAATCTTCGGGTGAAAACGAAAAAAAACTTCGTGAATTTCACCCGAAAATTTCACCAAAAATTGAGGTGAAGCCGATATCCGTCACCTAAGAATTAGGTGAAAATCCCTTGCATCTTCGGTTGAAAAATCAGGGTGAAATTCACCCAATACGTACCCCCCAGTGTCTCTGTTCCTAGTTTGTGTGAAAGGCTTTCGCCGGACTGAAGTATAGGCATACATAGACTGTGCATGTTTATTGGGTTCTGGCTCTGTCGGTGTTCGTGTAGATATAGGTACAGGCGCAATAGCAAGGTCAGAAGTAACGGAAATATTCGTACGTGTGGTTGTGGTCTACTTTAGCAGTATTTATGACTTTCCATTCTTTCTGGCTCGAAACGATTACAGTGTTTGCTCTCGCTATGGTACAATACACTAGTTATGATACAGATGCGATACAATATTACGCCTTTCTTTTTTTCGTGTTCTGTTATGTTCCGTCGAACCTATGACATCATGATCGTACACTCGACTAAGTGAGCGGGGCGCTGGGGTGACGAGGATCAAGCGAATATAAAGCCAGGCTGCTTGAACCTCATGGTCTGACGCTTGATCACCCCGCCCTCCAACCTCCTAAAAATGAACACATACCCCCTCTCGTGATATTCCACCACCTTCAGCGACGAAAATAACTCGAACAGCGCTTTGGCGTTCGATGCTCCGAGTGGCGAAAGACCGCTTCGCACCGAAGGAAAGTACGCGTCTGCGCCGACCCACCTCACCGTCTCCAATTTCGTCGGAAAAGCCGAGAGGACGTCTGTTCCCCCAGACGTCAAGGTCAAAGAGTCGGTGTGGATGACTTGTTGGGGCTGGCTCTCATTCGTACGGTATTTGTATTGAGCTTGGCGGAGCTCGAGAGTACGAAGGTGCGGTATCCTAGGCAGTACGTTAGAGATGATCCAGGAAAAAGACTGGGGACATTGATGCGGCGTGTCTTCGATGATGAGGTGGTTGAGTCTGGCACTGCAGACGTGATAGAGGGCGTCGAGATGATTCAGGACCGTGCCATTCAGTCGCGTCGATGAAGGATCGGAGTAGGCAATCGATAGCCGCTCAAGATGGGTATTAGACACTCTAAGCAGCAACTCGGTGCTGAAAGCGAGCATACCAGAACCAACTTTCAGCTCGAGGGACGTAAGGTTTGGCAGCTGAGCTCGTGGGGACTCGGAGATAGACTCGAATCGGTGCTGAGATTCATCTTGGCCGTTTTGATGCTGATTCCTGACGGTACCTAGGCGCAATACCGAAAGATTCGGATGGGAGCGCAGAAACTCGAAGATGGAGGGGACAGCCGGTGTGCGATTACATTCGAATTCCTCCAACGATGCTGAGATCCCGCTAACACAGACTTGTGATATGAACACGGGGCTGGGTGAAGAATGGTGGCCAAACCGCAGAGAGCGGAGGTTGGTCATGGCTCGAAAGAAGAGAGAAATCTCTCCAAGGTCAGACGACCATTCGGTGCGAGTAATGTTGTTGATGGACTTGACGAAGGGGCCGAAGAGTGACGGCCGTGACAGAATCGTAGTCACTAAAGCGAAGAGATGACCATGCTCATATTTCCGCTGTGACCCGTATAGATGCTTGTATTGTCGAAGTACTCCACTGAGTATTGTGATGTGCTCGTAGAGAAGGGGTCGAACGAGTGCGGCGTGACTGTGGGAGCATAGCGCCAAAGACGCCATGTCATTCGAAGAGAGCTCTCGATAGATCGCTGTATGGAGCTCCAGGGGAAGTCTGTCCATTTGGCTCGGTTGTGTCTGGCGATCCCACCAGATGGTCGACTATAGCGCAAACGATATTCAGCTCAGGTTCGAAGTGAAAGTCAATACAAATACTATGGAAGACTAGCAACTTACTAGTCTGTGAACCCAACAGGGTTATCCTCTATGATCTCAAGTTCAAAAGGATCCAAAGCAGGCAGTAATCGGGGCTTCTGGGGACAAGGTGTGATAGACGGGACGGTACGCTGGTCGGGGGCGACGAGCTTCCTTCCACAAAAAAGTAAGCGTGTGAAAATGGACACGTCCAGGTTTGCTTAGTCGACCGTTCAAGACACGTGTCTAACACGCTACTGACACCGTCGCGTTCGAACTCAAACGTTTAACCTTGTCTCGCACACTCATCATCTTCTTCCACCGGTGTAGTATCGCGTTCGTGACCCTTTATCCTTGATAAATGTGAGTACCACTTGCTTTGGACTGGACATCGAACTGACCGTTGCCCTTTGTTCGACCAGCTCCGAGTCGTGCTACTACCAAAATGAATAAACTACCCGCAGAGCTTCGTATCGCGATCTGTCGAGAACTGTCTTCAACCGACGGGGCAGCTTTGATTCTATGCTGTCATAGCTATGCCGCATTCTTTCGACCTTTAATTTATCAACACATCGTGGTGACTGACCAACGAGTGCAACATTCATCATATGCTCCTGACCCGGAATACGAGACTCGTCTTCGCTCCCTAGTGGCCACCGTCATGTCTCGACCGTCGTTCTTTGGCCCTCTCATCAAGTCTCTACATATCGATCAAAGTTGTTTGTGCTGGATGAAGCTCACTCCCTTCTTCCAAGTCATGACGAACCTCCGTTGCTTGCGCCTGGAATCAAGATACCGACTGGACATTTCTAATTTATCGACTACGGCATTCTCCTCGGTCCCGCCTTCTGCATCTCTAGTTGATTTCGAAACCACCTACACATTTTCAGCACGGGAAGTCTTCACGTTTCTACGCTCGCATCCGAAGCTTTCCTCGCTACGCCTGGGCGTTGTAACCTGTACCGACAGCGACGATGATGAGCCCCAGTCTTCGCTAATATCTATGACGCCACCACCTCTTCTTAGAGTCCTCGAACTGAATATCCAGGACTACGGACTCAGCTTTGCTACTAAAGTATTGAGACTGTCAGGAAGTCATCTCGACGACCTATCGATCCAGTATTCCAATCACGATATGGGCGAGCTCGAGTCCCATCCTTCTGTTCTCGCTCACTTCGACGCTCTCAGTGCCTGCTATGACACCCTCACCCAGCTCTCGATCGAAAACACGCCGCACAAATGTGATCAGCCCTTCTCGTGGATCATCGCCAACATCCTGCCCCGGACATCTAACCTCCGTGTTCTCGAGCTTCGCCAACCTTTCTCAATCGACCGTTTCGGTTCTAACAACGTAGAACAAGTCATTTGTATCGAATCCTTCCTGCCCCTGATCTCGAACTTCCCGAAGACATTGGAGACGCTGAAGTGGATCGGTGGAGACGCATGTTCTCCTTCAATGGGAAGCGGTCTTTCCGTTCTCGGAGCGTCGAATGCTAAAGCGCTATTCAAGCTTTTCCCGTCATTGAAGGTGGTGGAGTACAACGAGAGGGGTTATATTTTTATCTTTAGGAGGTTGGCGGATGGCGTGATCAAGCGGCGAACCATGAGGGGCGTCGAGCGAAGGATATGATAGCTGGAGTCGGGCGAAGATACGGACAACGTTACACTGCGTTAGACCTTGGACGTGGTGATTAGTTTCCTCTTACCCCATTTTCCCCCTCTGAATATAGCACGGTTTCTCCCTCATCAATGTTGGGATCTGGTTTATCTGTTGTCACAATGGAGTATACTCGTACATTACTGCTCTGTCTTTGGTCATGTAGTCAGCAAGCAAAATTGTCGATATGTTTGAGTATGCTGGGCGGTCATGGTTGCCGTACGGCGCACCAGTAAGTACGGGCTGATCTCCTGTAGGCAGTGTAGCCAGCGTTGGCGCGAGTATCACTCCACTATATATATATCTTGTACTACTTATGCAGTGGGCGCCACACAAAGTGGCGAGAGTTTTAAATTTAGTCTGGGCTTTTTAGTCAGCCCACGCATTGAACATGACGCTGGCGCGTTCCCCATTTCAAACGAACGCTCACCATCGTCGTCGTCCCCCACCAGCCCACCAGCGTAGCGTCGCACATTGTTTTTCATAGGTTTGATTGCTACCTGATTCGGATCATTTTTGAAGAGATCACACTGGTGGACAACTTGGTCGGTTTCACAGGCTAGTCCTAGTCTCCCATACCTGTGTTGACTTCAACTTTGAAGAGCTGACCACCATCTGCCCCACAGTCGACCATCTGGTAGTATCACCAAACGCCACCGAGCCAAATGGACAGACTCCCCGCGGAGCTTCATGTAGCTATCTGTCGAGATCTGTCTTCGGGTGACATGGCGTCTTTGGCGCTATGCTCCCACAGTCATGCCGCACTCGTTCGACCCCTTCTCTACGAGCACATTGCAATGTGGGGGGCAGAAAAACTTCGACGATACAGGTATCAAAATCGAGGCGTACAGTATAATCACCAGTCTACTCGTTTCTTCGCTTTAGTGACCACGATCGTGTCAAGGCCGTCATTCTTCGGCCCTTTCGTCAAGTCCATCAGCGATAGTTGTTTCCATTGGTCGTCCGAGTCTGAACTTGGCGAATTGGCTCTCTTCTTTCAATCCATGACCAACCTCCACTCTCTGCGCTTGTGGTTTGGCAATCCCGCACCCAGTTCGGAGTTCATTTCACAAATATATTCCAGTACAACCTCACCTTCCTTGGTGGAGCTTCATTTTCGTGACACACCGGCTGTTCCCTCCATTTTCGATTTTCTGCGCTCTCATCCGAATCTTTCGGTTCTGCGCCTAGGTACCGTGTCTCTCGGTCTTGACCATCGCAATGGCCAGGATGAATCTGAACAACGATCCGAGCCTGTTCCCCCGCTAGCTCAGTTGCGACATCTCACGTCCCTCGAGCTGAAAGTCGGACGTGGTGCGCTCACCTTTAGCACCGAGTTGCTTGTGGCGTCTACCCATATTGAACAACTATCGATTACCTACTCTGAATCTTCATCGGGACAAGGGAGCGACTCCGTCCCCAATCATCTCAAATCCTTCAATGCCTGCGGCGCCAAACTCAACCACCTCATCATCGAAAACACGCCGCACCAATGTTCTCAGTCCTTTTCATGGGTCATTTCCAACATCCTGCCTAGAACGCCAGGCCTTCGTATTCTCGAGCTCCGCCAACCGCAAGGCACAGACCACATTGATTCTATCCATCCACAACAAGTCATCCGCAGTGACTCCTTGAGGTCCGCAGAGTCGGGCGTCATCCCGGTGTTTCCGAAAATTTTGGAGACGTTGAGGTGGCTCGGTGCAGAGGCACACTTTCCTTCGGTGCAAAGCGGCCTTTCGCCCGTCGGAGCATCGAATGCCATAGCGCTGTTTGAGCTCTTTCCGTCGTTGAAGGTGGTGGAATATCACGAGAGGGGATATGTGTTCATTTTTAGGAGGTTGGAGGACGGTGTGATCAAGCGCCAGACCGTGAGGGGCATACCTCCTACTGACCTGGGTATCGCTCCCTGGTACCGGACCTAAGTGGCGGTGGTGAGTCTCGTTCTGGCATATGCATCCCCTTGCATAACACATAACCATTCCGACAAGACTGATGAAGGCGTTTAGGAATCATAACAACCGGCCAATGTTGGGAACTCCTTTAGGCATCGTCATAGCGGATTGTATATAGCCTGTGTACACACGTGTCATTCTCGTCGTAAAGTTGAGTGTTTCTTGTGTTGTGGACGAGTAGAGAACGTGAAAACTCGTCGTTGAGGGTCGTGAAGTCTACATGGAAATATTTGAACCTGTCATTCAGCCCTCACAACTTTCGATCCTCATCCAAGTCGTCTCGTCCTCCGAGGTCCGCAGAGCCCGAAACATCTCCCCTCCTCACTCCCTCAATACCAGCTCTCCCCTTTCTGACCTCCTCCAGATCTGCTACTGCGCTATGTTTCACGCCTTCCAACGCCGCATCGATCTCTTCCAGTGTCTTCCCTTTCGTTTCGACCCACCAGAGCTGTATGATGACGAGGATTATGACATCCCAGGCGCCGTTTATCATGTATGTCTTCCAGGAGATGGACGCAATAGCGATGGGCATCGTGAATACGAAGAGCAGTCTAACAGTGTGGGAATAAGTTCGTGTTTAGTTGCCAGCTGCTGGACGGCATCGTGTAAATGAAGGAGACTGAAATACTCACGCGGCTCCGTTCAACACAAACTGGAATGCTCCCATGCCATTCGCTCTGATCGGATAATGCATGACCTCAGGGGGATAAAGATACAAGACGGGTGTCCATCCGAAACTGTACGATCCTTGGAATAGGAAGATACAGGCGACGGTTCCGTAGATGCCGGATTTGTTCGTCGAGGCGCCGTAGACTGTGCGTGCAAGGTAGACGCCATACACCGCGCAATACCGTCAGCCAGAGCGATCGCACACGAGAAGGTGATACAATGGACGGACGGAATGGAGACCCACCTTTTGTGAGCGCACCAATCATGAATATGAAGACAGTCAACAAGCCCTGACTTGCGACTGTTGTTGGCTTGCGGCCCCAGTGGTCGGCGGAGTAAGTACCAAGCAGTGAGCAAACGAGACAGAAAGCATTTAGAATGATGTTCTAATGTGATTCGGTATCAGTCCTCGTAGTTTCCGATGCATAAATGTACAAGAGAACGGGAAGGTAAAAGAACTTACTATCTTGAGCTGCGTGGTTGTATCCGTGATCCCAGCGTTGTCGAGCATGGACCCGAGGTAGTATGACGCAATCACGTTCCCTGTGGACGAAGAACTCGTCAGCCTGACCGCCTTCATTCTGGAATAGGGGGAGAGAGATCAACAGGAAGGCAATCGTTCGGCTAACCTGCGATGGTGCTAAACAACGCCGCCGAACAGGCTAACATCACCCTCTTCCTCGCGTTCGGCGTCCTAACTACCTCCTTGAAACTCAACGTCTCGCCCATACTCCTCTCAAACTCCATCGTATCAACGATCTCGCGATACTGCAACATCACGATGTCGTCGACCTCTTCAATCCCACTTGTCCCATCCATTCCGTCCGCACCGACCGCGTTCAACCTCCCATCGGCGTGGGTTTGTGCGAGGACAAGTAAGCATGCCTCTTTCCGACCTTTCCAAGCAAGCCAGCGGGGAGATTCTGGGATGAATGGAATGATGATTATACAAAGAAGGCTGAAGACGCCCTGGACGATGGACGGGATGCGCCAGGCCCAGGTCGACGGCATGAAACTCGTTCCGAAGGTCACGCCTGCTGCGATCAGCCCTCCACTAGAGGTGCAGCACAAGATGTATGTTCAGAAGAATGAGCCACACACAAGGAATGGCAGGAGTGAATACACTCACACGTAGTAGAAGTCGTTGAACACGCCCAGTCCCCAAGCTCTCCATTTCTCCGGCAACGTCTCCGCCAAATACGTCGGGCCCGTCAATCCGCTTGCACTGGTGCCTAGTCCAATCAGAATCCTCGCAATCACGAACATTGCGATATTTTGAGCACAACTTTGCAGCACGACGGCAATTAGAGTGATGACAGCGGCGAGGAGAAGAGCGGGACGACGGCCTATAACGTCGGTGATGCGACCAAAGGTGAGGCCGGCGAAGCAGCCACCGATCCAAACAGCAGAGGTTGAGAGGCCAGTCGTGACGGGGTTGAGGTCGAAGTAATTAGTATAGGAAGGGAGGATGTTGAGACCGTTCCTGTTGTTCGAGGTCAGTGCAGATTCAGAAAAGTGGCGAATAAGTTTTGATAGACATAAATGGAGAAGGAAGACGAAGAGACGGACGGACAGCATAGACCCATCGTAACCGAAGGTCTGATAGCGGGGGCATGGACCAATCAATAAATTTCAGAGCACAAAGAAGGACATTTCTACTCACCGTGGACGTGATACAAGAGCATAACACCAACAAGATCGAGATCAAAAGCGACGAGTTCGGTACCATAAGCGGGATCCAAGACCCCCAGGCGTCATACCCATATCCGTACTCAGCACCAGAAAATTCGTTTTTACTCATAGTCATGATTCCAGTTGTTCAACCAAGACCACCAGCGTCAGCAATGGTGGTGGTCCAGAGGGGAGAACGCTAACCATCAAGAATGCCTTCGTAAGTAGATAAGGAAGACAGAACTCTCGCGCTCGTTTCTCCATCTCCATCAAGCCTCGCGCTCTCAAGTCGGGTGATCGTATGTTGACGACGGATAAGTTCGAAGATCTCTCACGCGAGTGAGATAGGTAGACGAAAATAGAATCGAGATTGTATCGCTATGTTTGTGGCAAGCATCGACCCTTGCGCTGTGGATATCTACGTCGAACTTTAGACTAGAACGCAAGCAATACGTTGACTGACAATGCCGACGAATCAGGACTGCATATAATGACTAAACTCGAGTCGGTCAAGAGTCGGTTCACTGAGTGCGTTGGCCATGCCAGTCGACTGGACAAAACCACAGCATTGTATGAGTATAACTCTTTGGAAAGTTAAGCTAGAGCAATGGCGCTGACGACTCGAGCAGAAAAGGCAGGAAAAGACAAGTTGAAAACCATGCACGGCTGAGCGGGAGTAGTACTACTGCACGAGGGCCGCACAGCAAGTACGCCACAGACGCGCCTTGTTACAGAATGACGTCACGCGTAGAGTGAACGCGTCTGGTCCAGCGGGGTTCCTTTTCTAGTCCTCAACCACTACCACATGCCCCATCGACGGCATAGTCTTTGAGAATGTTTTCCACAGTGTCCCTAGTACGGTCTTCCAGTCTGGCCTTGAAAGCGACTGCTTTCTCTTTTTCCCTGGGCTACACCGTTCAATCCCGACACCAGTCTTCTACCAGCAAGTTTATTCTACGTGAACCTCCCTCCTCTGCTTCTCGAGTTGCACCTACGCCTCTAGTATTTGTCTCTTCCTCATCCTGGGATCGTAATTCAGACAAGGGGTAAGTATGTGAATAATGTTCAAGCTCGTTATACGGCTGATTGGCATGAAGTATGATGGCAATGTCATCTATGTTCGCCGAACGCGGTTTCACGACCATGGAAATCGATCTCTCGTATCCTCCACAGGATTCTCAGGCCTCCCACACATCAGAAGGGATAATGAAACACTTTGAAGACGGTGAGTATACGATTTCTGCACAAGGTTCGATGCTCAATGATTGACTTCTACGAACAGAACTACGAGCGCAATTACGTTTCGCATCGGCCTCTCCAGGCCCATTCCCTCCCATCATCTTCTCTCGCTCCGCAGGTGCCCTCATCTCACAGACATATATATCATCCAACCCAGCCTCCGGTCTCGTCCTGATCTCACCGCCGCCCACGAACGCATCCTTACAACCGCGGTCTGATTCTCTCGACCTCGAGAACGCGCGCCTCCCGACACCATTAAACGAGTTTGACTACGAACCGAAATTTCCGCTGGCTGTTGTTGGCACACAGGACGAGATTGAGACTTTTAGGAAGGAAAGCAGGCTAGGCCGAGCTGTCGGGAGAAGAGGAAGTGTTGATTTACTTGAGGTACGAGATGGGAACGTGGAAGGACAGGAAGCTATGGTGAAGATTGAACAATGGCTGGACGAAATTGGAGTTTAACATAATCCGCAATGCTTGGGCAGTACGTCTCTTCAATCCGCCATATAAGTACCCTGCAGGCCATCATTCTTACGATTGCTCGCGGTTGAATGAGCGTCAACGGCGATTTCTTAGAACGTACAAACAATTCGTGCCACTGAGGATGCGCGAAGTGAGACCAAAGTTGTGCTGGCGCGGCGCTGATAATAGTTTATGCTCAAGAACCTGACCAGCAAAGCAAAAAATATTGTATCTTCTGTAATTTTGCTTACGATGGCCCAAAGGTACGTTGAACGTAGAGAGTCCTGGCCCTGAGGACCTCTAGTGTTTGTCGAGGGTGGATCCTGATCGTTAGCGAGCGTGGCCTGATGTGTACACCGAGAGCTGAAGTTAGAAGTCAAGCATGACAGAGTAGTTGAGGTTGATCAGGAAGTCGAGAAAGGGGATGGTAGTCAGGTAGAAAGGGTGGCGGCGGGCAAGTTTTCGCCCTGTACTATGATGTTGAGTTGAATAAATTACCCCTTCTCAAAATTCCTTTGAGGCCGCCTGGCGAAATGGCATCGCGTCTGACTACGAATCAGGAGATTGCAGGTTCGACCCCTGCGGTGGTCATGTGGGTTATGTCGATTCTTATCCTTTTGCTCTCGATGCGCTACAAGTATATACACTGTTGTACTATTCAAGTTTTGTTCGGAGATATACATAATACGTCACATTGTACAACTTTTACTGCTCTAAACCTCTACCATAGGACAAGCACCACTACGGTCCAGTTGTAGCCACTGCAGCCTGCCGTTTACCCTTTGTGTCCTCAGCATAATTCTCGTAGAAATTCGTCTCTTCACCAGGTGGAATCGACCTCTCCATGACCCTTTCAGGATCTCCATCGCTAGCCCCGTCCCCGGTATCCAATGCCGACTCATCCACCTGCTTCCTCCCAGGACCATCCCAGAAGTGGTATGCCTGGCTGTGCACACCGTAGGAGGCTGGAACGACTTCTAGTAGATCGCCACGGACGACTTCTATGGCTGGAATTTCAGAGGCAGGGAGACCGATGAGGTATGCCATTAGGCAGCGGATGACGGAGGCGTGACCTATGATGAGAAGGTCTTCTTGTTCGCGCTCCAGCTCAATGAGAGTCGGCTCAAGCCGTACTATACACCAAACCCAAATGTGATACTTCGTTCAACACCAGACCTTTGTGCATAAAGCATGTAACAGACGCACCGCTCAAGTCGTGGTAGCTCTCCGCCCTCGGCGCACGGAACGAATACGGGTCCTTCGTGAACCGGTCCCATTCCTCGGGGTAATACTTTCTCGCCTGATCTGGTGTCAGTCCATCCCAAACTCCAGGGTTGATTTCGGACATTTGAGGTTTCTCGACAACTTTGACATTGAAGGGAGAATCGGACGAAGAATGACCTTTTGCGCGGTCTGCGGCAGTGAGGAATGGCCAGGCGGTGTGATGGGCACGACGACGGGCAGAGGTCCAGACCTAGAGCGACCGTCGAAGCAAGTAGATTGACGGCTTGTGGGACGCGAGAGAGGGTAAAAGAACTTACTACGAGACGACTGTCTTTAGGGTCAAGACCTCGCTCCTTGAGAGATTTCGCGCGTCGCTCCAAGACAAAGTCCTTCAACTTCTCGGCATACTCCCAGCCCACGGGCGAAAGATCTGCGTCGGCTTTGTAGGAATGTTCGATGAGAGAATGTCCAGACTATATACCCGGATATCGTGCGCGTTAACAAAAAAAACTGGGAGCAGGAAGACCAAGGTACAAACACGGGCAAAGTATATTGTCCGATATTTGTTGTGGATGTTCATGAGGAAAAAGACTATTCGGGACTGCAAAAGGAAATCAGCGGGTGCTTGTTGAAGTATACTAGAGGTACGTACTTGCAGATATCCCCTGACATTCTGGATGGAAGTCAGGAGGTGACCGCTACGACAAGAGCACACTAGAGACGCACGTTAACCATGATCTTCTCTCCAACCTAGGGACTGTCGGATGAGACAATCACGACGGGATAGACGAGAAATAGACTTACGTTGATGATACGGATGAAAGGCCATGTTAGTTCTTCCACGGCCTCGTAGTGCTTCTCATGGTCTTGAATACGTTTATAGTAGTCTTGAACAGCACGGTCAGGGTCCCAATTCCGATACTGGGCAACACCACGAAGATCATCAAGGCCTTTCCCAAGGTGCAAATGACATGGCAGTACGTACGTCTGGAGAGGATATCTTCACGCTACGAATGTTCTGTTCGATTATTGCGTTGTCATCGCAGAGCGACTCTGTACATGTTGAAGAGAATTTGTGGAGATACCATCAATCGCCTGCCAGCCAATTCATAGAAGCGGTAGATGTTTCACATACCGAGTATGACAACATGAATACCCTCCGTGTCAAATTTCTGCGCTAATCTCTGCCTCTGAGCCTTTGTCCCATTGTTCGCATCGTAGATCACGACCTGGCCGCCTCCATTGAAGAAGTCCCAGATCATCTTCTCGCATCCATCCTGCACCTTCAACCTCAGTTTGACTGTTTCCTCACTCTTCTCTCCTATAGCACGATTGACACATTCGGCGCACACAAATCCATCAGTGAAGATTTACCAGAGAAAAAGGTGTAGAACGCACCGAGATAGAAGTAATCAGGCGGTAGCTTCTGCGCGCCTCCGATGACCTTCCGCCTATAGTCGCCGAGCGAAATGACAGCTGTCTTGACACCTGCCCAGCGAAGATACCGCTCAAGAGCCCGAGATATGTGCGTCTTTCCTCGTGCAGGAAGACCGACTGTAACGACTAAAATCTTTCCGGCGTGGAAGAGAAGACCAGAATCGGTCGTATATAGCGGTGCGACCATGGCCGATTTGTGAGTATCGTAAAGTGGCTGTCAAGCCCGATGGTTTGTGGCGTTTCCGAGAGAGTAGAAGTATTTGTAGTTCCTGTCGTTGGAAAAGTAAAATAGGAGAAACAGATTCGAGTGCGAGTTAGCAGGTCAGGAGCAACGAGACGATTGTGGCGACGAATCAGGCGATCTCATCGACATTCAAACTCCGCTGGATTATCTAAATCAGCCACCACTCGTTGAAACGAACTTGTCTTTGAACTGTGGCATGTATGGTCGTCTCTCTGTCTCCTGCACTGGCTTTTTCTTGTGTCTAGCGAGCGGAACGAAAACCCTTGCCAGCAAATGATTTAAACTCATCAAAAGGTCTATGATGAAGACCTCGCTCGCCCTAGAATGTCCTACAGCTTGCCTGGATCGCCTACCGAATCATAATTGACTCTACCAGTGGAATAGCCTGGAGGAGTCCTGCTGCCTGCTCCATGTTCCGCCCGACCACTAACACACCCGTGATCATTGGCGACCCGACTCGAATGGTCTTGGGGTCGTTATCATCGGCCTGGGACTGTGGGGGCATTCTCACTCGAGCGAATATACGTATCAGTCCACTCCCCGTAAAAAGGTATCCTTGTGGCGACGTTTTCACTCCTTGCCAGTCGGAAATTTGCCCTGAGGGATGTCCTTTCCTGGGTTACAACCAACAGAAGCCCAGACCAACCGACGGGATTCTCTGTTCGACCTGGAACAATGATTGGTACCTTTGTTGCAGCCCTATTCTATGTCCTCGTCGGTTGTTTGTCATGTCCGTGCGACCGAAGATGTACATAAACGGCGTAGTCAGTGCTTTCTTCGAATACTTGAAACACATCGCGCTGCTTCCGTTCTACCAATGTATCCAGATGTTGCGAATTGACACTGCGGCCCGCTTGCTTCTCCCGCTGCTACGATCGATGAATCTGCTCTGGGGCTCAGAACTGTCCACGCTCACGAGTATCTCGTCAGGTCATGCAAAATCAGAAGTTGCAATCATTCTTTTTCTTCGCAATCATCAGGGTGCGGGTAACCAGAGCCAGGCTGTTTCTCCACCTCCACGAAATCACTGTCCCTTCGGGAGTGATGACCCACCCTGACCCACCCTGCTGCACCGAGAATCAAGAACTTCACCAGGGAACACAATTCAAACGCTGGAGGCATACTTGCACTGGGTTCCGAAACCAGACGTCTTCATAAGGGCAGCATGACTTCTTCCACGGCCTGAAAAGCGCAAGACCAGCACTATGACTAAGTCTTCACCTGCTGGAGTCTGCTGCATGCTGTGAAGAGCGGTAAGTATAGATTGAGAAGAACTGTGCCCCGCGTCTCTTTATGACGAGCATACCTATTCTTACACAAAGCCATGCGTCTTCCCAGCTCATGCCAGTCCTTATCGTTGAATGAACAGCGCCACGCCAATTAGTACTTACGTAGATTCAATGTTGGGTCATACAAATGCCTGTTAAGCTTTATTTTCATGAGTTCATACCGGCAACAGCGCTTGTGTTCGGTGATTATTGGCCTTGGATGGTCAAAAGTGTGGCGCTCCGTAGGCCTCTCGCCGACTCGTCGTCACATCGTTCGGTATATCAGTAGTTGATAATGAAACGTTTACCATCATAGTTCGGCCGCGTTTAATAAGATTTCTATGGACTAAGAAGGGAGTTTAAAACAAATTTCCACTCCGCGATGATGCTGGCGATGGGAATTCAGTGGCAGTGGCTCGACCACTGGCATCGCCGGGAAATGCGCCGCAGAAATATTGCGCGCCACTCAAACTCGTCTGAATCGGCCAAGGAACCCTTCTCGACAGTGTAGGTCTCACCATGCCTCCTCCAGGACAAAATGCAGAACGCGGCTTTTGCTAAGAATCGAGAGACTGGCGCTATGTAGCGAAATACTTACATCTCAGAAATCCCAAAAATCTGAGATTGGCTGGCAAGGATGGACTTCGCCGAGCATAGAGGATATCGCCGGGCAGCGATGATCTCCGGTGGCCCTGGGAATTCCCATCCTGTTGCGGTAATGGACACTGGAGGTCATCGCATGCCTTGCTGGTCAAACATGGACTCCGAAGGTCATTGTTTCGCCATTATGGCCTCGTGTGCTCACTGGAGTTCAGCGTAGCACCAAGATCGTATACCGATGAGCAGGGCAAACCACCGCATGACCACGAAAGGTCACTTTCAAGCCATGTTGTCCGGAGCTCACCGGTCGTATCCCATTCTTTTATTTGCATGTAATCTACGCGTCTGTGGCTGCTCTTCGTGGCTGCCGTTAGATATTCAACGGTAATATCGAATCTCTTGGGTCCTCGTGTGAGATATTTTACCTGGTGACAGGGCTCGCTGTCTAGCCCTGCGTTCTGCTACGGTGCAGAGTCGTAAAATGTAGCTGCTCGTCGACGGCATTGAAGATAACTAACCTTCCCTGCACCGGCGCGTCAGCCAATCGGAACAGTCGGAAGAGGTCCGAAGGTGGTCTGCCTCGGTCCGGTCTCGGTAAGTCTCAGCCCGTTCTAGGATTTCCGGATCTTGACCTCCTCCTCGATGCTCCGGGACGGGAGCGAGTATATTATTTTTTTNTTTTTTTTTTTTGAGGAACGATATGACACACAGCAACCAGACTCGGCTGGCCCTGTCTACGGTAGGCGGGACGACCGCAGTTCGATTTGAGTTGACGCGTCGAGCTTTCGCGGTGGCGCCACCCTAACCCTGCATCCGGCTTGGTCCGGGCTCACTTCACTGGGCTGTTACAGCGTATCTCTGACATGTAGCGGCTTCATGAGCTCCATGACAGATCGGGCTGTACATACTGAGTGTAATGTGAATAAAAAGGGAGTCCCTGGAACATCTTAAGCATTTAATATGATTTTCTGGAAGTGGCAGGCAACGTGGGAAGCTCAGCGGGGCAATCAAGGGTGGCTTGCCCAGCCACAGTTGGTGCATCTTGAGCTACAAATTGTTGACAGCCTCGATGGGCAGCATAACACATGCCATGTAAGTATTAGTAATTCCATCAGCTGCTCAGCTTGATTTTGAGCAAGATAGCACAGTATTTCTCTCTGTGTACTGTTACTTTTACAACC